TAGTGACTCAGACAGTGGAAGTGACAGGGGTCAACAAAGAATTGTGGCCACAGATAATAAAAGTGAAAGTTGCCTTGTGGCTTATAAATTGTGCCATTTCGATTCATTTTTAGTTTACAAAAATCTAAACCCTGATTCGAAATTGAAATACAAAGCATTTCTGATGAATGTGGCAAAGGCTTGGGCTACAAACCAGATGGTGGGGGCAGAACCAGAGTCAGACAGACTTAGTGCAGCCTAGCCCATCAACTCCCACCCCACGCACGCCTCATGTGGACACCCTTGGGCGACTCTCGGGTGATATGCGAAAACATACCCTCGTGAAAAATGTGAAGAGTGAACATTCCAATGGGAAGCATCCTTCTAGGCAATGCCATGTTTGCGCAGTTCACAAAAAAAGGACTATGACTGTCTACATTTGCAAGTGTATAATGCCACTTCAGAAAAAGGAATGTTTTCAGAAATATCACACACTCAAGCACTTCTAGGAGCATTGATAAGTGTTCCCCAAAAATTTTAGTTCATAAAATTAATTAGGTTTTATATTAATTTTTAAAGTGAACAGTGCACAAGTTAGGGTAGTAGGAATAAAAATGCCAGTCCCCAGGGAGATTTAAATATTTAAATCGCCGGTCTGCAAAGTGTTAAAAATGCTTGTCTCGAGCAATTCCATGGTCTAGCAGTTGTTGATTGTGTCATTTCACATTCATTCGTCGCTCATTTACTCTTGTTGGGAAGACCGGTGCTTCTACGTTACCAGCTCATCCTCTGTGCTATTCCATTTTTTTTCGTTTCGGAGGGGGTTGACCCCTCCACAAGGTCCAATTCTTGATCATGCCTTTCTTGAGAAGTTCCTTATGTTGACGTAACAGTGTGGCCTCCACTCACTGATGTCGTCTTTCCTCCTGGTCTTCCTGCCACCTGCTGGTACAAGACTGGTGCAGCAGTGCCCACTGCTGATTTCTTTTCACTGCTACAGTCATCCCGCAATTGTTGAGACTCATTATAAGGCTGCTTGCAGAGACAATGTAGACAATTGTCGACGGCCAATTCCTTTCTCCGGGATCCGAAGGTTCCCTGGGTAGTTTCCTTCTTGAAGGCATCTCTCCTGTGTCGTGCCAGTGCTGCACGGCAGGACACCTTCCAGTCAGTTTGTGTTTTCCGTGTCACTTTTGCATGGTAGGACACCTTCCAGTCAGTTTGTGTTTTCCATGTCACTTTTGCACGGTGGCTCGTCCCTCTGCAGGTGACTACCAATCTTCCTCGGCACCCATCCTGACACTGGGTCCGTTCATTCATTTTTCGCTGGTTTTGGTCCCTATGCCTTTTCTTCGGTTCTCCCACCGGCATTAGTTCGGCGTCTTCTGCGGGGACCTCTCGTTCTCCCGCCTCAAGTTTCATGTCCACTGAGGTTGGCTCTTCTTTACGTCCATTTCGGGTTTGATTTTGGCCACTATCTCCTTGTGGCTGGCGTCCATCCTTTTTTGCATGGCTTCCATCCTTGCTTGGATAGCGTCAAATTTTGCCATGCAATCTTTGTCTGTCTCCCTCTTTTTCTGCCTGGTTGGCATCCATCTTTTTCAGCCTTTCAATTATTTGTTCCATTTTCATGTGGCAACACTGTAAACACGCACTTCAGTCTTTAGTTCAATAATCGCTTCAGTCAATGAGCTCCGACGAAATTGTGGTGT